AGTCGGGTATTTATGATTTGAGGCTGTGTGGTAGTTCCTTGGTCCTAACACCTCGATTTAGAACGCGTATGGGCATCTCCTTCTTCTCCTTTGCCCTTGGAGTACTTGGTTTTTCTCCGATAAGTGGTGCACTGTTGGGTCGTGATTATCATTGGTCCAAGGCGATCTGTTTTCATGGAGTGAGTTCATTGGCCATTTCTTCTTGAATCATAGAAGACTGATAACACTCTATTAGGTCTGCTTGATGCTCTCTGGGATATTGGTAGTGATCGTACGGATTATTATGGCGAAGCGACGGGGTATCTGGAACGTGTAACGAGCACTCTGAATGGCTATATTCCTATGAATGGGTCCAAAAAATGCATGGTATGCGTAATGATTTCATTCAACCAATTAGCTCTTGTAAAACTATGGAAACCCCTTTGAATACAGTGAATGGCTAGTCATTTCCTACCGCATATGTCATCAAGAGGGCACCAGAACAAAGACGCTCTAGTAGTGAAGTAAGACTACGGCATCCGGTATAAATTCAATTTCTCTCTGTTTCCACCCGTGTAATGCATCCTGGATTGCTGCTCTTTTCTCCAGTTCAAGTTCCCCATAAATGGAGATCGTGGAGTCAAATGAATGCTCTAGATGGAGAATCTGCAGGTGAGGAAATATCTCTTTGTCCTGATTGAAGACTTGAGCAAAGTCAGTATACCTGAGACTGACCACTGTGAGTTTTGTGACTGGGATCGTGCCCATGGCTAAAACCTCCAAATCGTACAGATGCTCAATATGCATGGATTTGAGTGGCTTGTGGCGATTCCACCACCCCTCTAGCATATCACTCCACCCTCGCGTTCGTTTATGTGCCATTGGTCCACGGTTGTTGTGGCACTCGGACAGAACGAGGTGCTCTAAAGAGTGAAAATGTCGAACGAACTCTGGAACGTCAGTCGAGGGCACATTGTTACAACCGCTCAACTTCAAGGTAGAAAGGTTGGAATAACTTGCCCAGTACTGTTCCTTGGTGTCTGGCCCGGCGACCCAGATAGGTGGGGCTAGCGGTCCAAACATGTCGCGCATTGCCAAGGTCTGAAGTCCTGTGAACCGGGTACGAACAAATTCAAAGATTTTGTCCTTCGCAAAGGAGAAGTAGAGGTCGAGATGCTGGATGAGCTGAGCTTGCTCAGAGGTCGCAATCTCCTGGAGTAGATTGAAGTCAGAGTTGCCGGGGCTGGTGCCACCGTCAGGCCAGTTGACAGTGGTGGAGTAGAATCCGATGGAACGTAGGCCTCTGTCTCGAATAGAAGATAGAATGGCAGTGGTAAGAAATGTTGGAGTGTAAAAAGGAGCATCGCGTCTGTCACCCTTGTAATAAAGAGAGAGAGACCGAACATTTTTACACATAGATAGAAACCTAGCTATCCTTGAGTCGTATAGGTCTGGTCTCTTGATGTCTATGCTACCACGAAGGACGGTGACATACTTCCCGTAGAGGCCCACGACCTCCTCACTTGTCATATCTGTAGTATGGAAAAGATTAAGCTCTTGGTAGACGAAAGAGGTACAGATTTCGTTGAAAAATCGGTTAACCCTGCAGTGTTCTTCCGTAAGGTGAGTGACGTCGCACCATATCAACACTTACAATCTCAGTGGAAGTATCTTTCTGTATTGGGAAGTGGTATCCTTGATTTCAATGGTTCCTTTCAAATTTATTATGTTGATGGTTCCCCGAACTTCTGACCTCTTGGGAGGATACCTATTGTCTGAAGCGCCGCGGTCCTACACAAAGTATTTATCAATATATGTTGGAAACAATTAGTAGCCAGAGAAAGGTACAGTAATGCCATCCTCGCGATTACTTGGACTTTTTGGAAGCCACCAATTTGAGATGTGCGTTGTGTTTTTGATCCAGACCGCATCTTCAGCGATTCGAGGTGAGGTGATAGGAGGTCTCAGAAATTCAAGGATTCCTCTCAAAACCTCGACAGGAAAGACGTCCATTGGTGCGGCAAGTGTACGTTCGTGGTGAGAGTGGGAGGCGACAAGGAGAGACGCGCCCAGTTGTCAGTCTTTGGGTGAGGATTGAGAAAACGGTCAGAAGTCTGATCATCATTCGATGATACTGACGAATAAAATACACAAGAAGTCTCATTAAAGTCTTCTATTGCCAAAACCTGAAAACCCACAGGTACACTCACCTCAACTCTCAGCTTTTGCAGTGCAGTTCAGTATCAACGTCTACTGATGTGGAAGCTAAGCATCATATATGTTTGAAGGATGGTGTGATATTCAACTTGCGCGGTGACTGCGGGATGGTGCCATCCCCTTCAAACCAGGGTCCAAGAATATGCCACCTTCTAGTGAGACCCATATCCGTAAACCGAGTCCAACTAGTTCAAATCACTATGAATTGCAAGTACAGGGCCCTTTCTTAGGTTCTGAGGGAGCTGCAAGAGGCAAGGGTAGAAACGAATGGAGAAGCGCCGCGCACACCCACCCAGTGTATGTTTGTTCTTCTCCACTCTCAAAGTCAATGATGCAATGATTAGATATCGCTTATTCTAGTGACCGACTACTCGCATTCGGCGGAGAAGATGGAGTGATGCGGCTTATTGAAGGTGGATGATCCATTTGCCTGAGAAGTCCCCACTCTACAATTCTCGTAAAATACTGTGGCCTCGAGGAGTCGAGTTGTGGTGCTCTTCCCCACTACGGGCAGGCCGCCGTGCACATCAACACGTCACCGCCGACCACTGCTCGTCTAATTTCCAGGATGCGCTGCAGCTCGACCAAGATCTCTCCATAAAGTTTAATGCGATCCGGACACAGGAACATGACGGTTCATAGCTGGGTATGAAGCGGGATCTAGCGATCTATGGGTATGGCACCGCCACGATACTTCTGCCGGTATGCCCAACGTGAGTTCGTAAGCCGGCGCTGTACGTCCGCCGACTGCCTGCAAAGGGCAAAGAGCCCCACTGATCACTCGTCCATATGCTATGCAGGGAGGCTACTTACATGGCTAGTTGCTGCAGGGTTCCCCACCACCCACCTTCCTTTCTTCTCCTCTCCTCCTCTCCCGCCTGGGTCTGTTTCATTTGGGACCTCACCCGATTCGAGGGGTATCACGGTGCCATCTTGATCGGACCCTTCTTACTGGATCAGCTGCGCGCCGCTGATTCATGAATCATTAGACGCGAAACCCCCGACTGGCGCGGTCACGGTATCATTGCAAGGAAGCATCATCTCGGTATCACTAATCCTACATCAAAACAATTACCTGCATCATCATCCGGAGAGCTTATTCAATCCCACCTTCCCCCCACTTGACCCTCACCCCACCCACAGGTTTTCCTTCTATTTCCTCCTCTTTTCTCTCTCGCATTGCCTGAAGAATATATACACGATTTCAGGCAATTTTATCAAATTAAAGGGGTCCAGGATCGGCGGAGAATGGGCCCAGTTTCAGAAGCACCGACAATACAGAGACTATTACCCCGCCAAACCCTATCGCTCACCTCCAGTAATGCCCCACCCCACGACTCAACCATCTCTAATCCGTTCCCTTACAAACCTAGTAATGCTATACCGTCGTGGGCTATCGTTACGATCGTTATAGGTAGCTTGCTCATCTTGAGCGTGTGTGGCTTCCTCGCCCTACACCTGCGTACTCGATGGAAGATCAAGAGGGCTACCACGAACGGCAATTCACTCGCATTTGCCAAAGGAGGACAGAATGGCAACGGCATTGCCGAGGGTGGTGGAGATCCAAAGGGAGATGGTACTACGGATAAAGGTTTTAGTGCGCCTATCGCGAGTGGGAACACTTTGGCAGAAGATGGCATGAAGACGCGAAGACGAGATAGTCTTCTCGATCAAGCTGAAGTACGCATACGCAAGTTGATCAAGAAGACGCGTCCTGCCACGTCGAACAGCACGAGTCGTCTCGTCCACACCACTACCAATGACGATGACCACTCTCTTCCTACC